AGCCGGGATCCCCCGGCCCCTACGTGAGGGCTCCGCGTGCTCTGTACCTGGGATAGGAGCGAGATCAGGAGCTGATGCACCAGGAACTGCCTCTCCTCAAAGCCTTCGAGCTTCTTTCTGAGCTGCTGCTGGTGCTCCAAGCACCTCCAGAGCTGCTCCTGCTGCCGCTGCCGCTGCTCATCCTCCTTCTCCGCACGCACCCTCTGCCCCAGCTCCCGCAGGTACTGATCCCCTGGGGAGTACAGGGATGTGGCAGGAGCATCCCAAAATCCCACCTGCACATCCCCCACCCCACCCCACCCCAGCTCCCGCAGGTACTGCTCCCACCCCAGCTCCTGCAGGTACTGCTCCCCTGGGGAGCACAGGGATGTGGCAAGAGCATCCCAAAATCACACCTGCACAGCCCCCACCCCACCCCACCCCACCTCCCACAGGTACTGTTCCCCTGGGGAGCACAGGGATGTGGCAGGAGCATCCCAGGATCACATCTGGACACTCCTCATCCCATCCCACCCCAGCTCCCGCAGGTACTGATCCCCTGGGGAGCACAGGGATGTGGCAGGAGCATCCCAGGATCACATCTGGACACTCCTCATCCCATCCCACCCCAGCTCCCGCAGGTACTGATCCCCTGGGGAGCACAGGGATGTGGCAGGAGCATCCCAGGATCACACCTGCACACCCCCTGCCCCACCCCGCCCCCGATGTTACTCCATGCCCGGATGGAACGCTCCGCGCTCCGGATGCTCCTGCTCCTGAGGAATTCCTGCAGCACGGCAGCCGCCTGTGGGAACGCAGGGAGGGGGTCAGGGTGGGGTGAGAGCGCCTGGGGGGGTGTTGGGGTGATGGAACGGGTCCCGGAGCCGCTGCCCTGCTAGAAGCCGTCCCCACCTTCAACCCCTTGCCGGGCAGCTTCCAGTATTCCACCACCAGCGCCTGCAGGTATCCCCCGGGCAGGCCGTGGGATCTGTCCCGGTTCCTTGTCTCCATGTCCCGGGACAGGTTCTGGAGGGTCTTCTCGCACCTGGCGCGGGACAGGCGCTCGTTGTCCAAGAAGAACTTGTCCTTCAGGGCCTCCACCTGGCGCTGCGGAGATTGAGGGGTCGTGGAGTCGCAGGCGTGGGAATTGGGATCCCGTGGGATGTCGGAGTCTCCGGGTCAACGTGGGGGGACTGAGACCTCCGGGTTGAGGTGGGAGCTGGGATCCCCCCGGGGCTGACAGGGAGACTGAGATTCTGAGGTTGTCGTGGGAACTGGGGTCTCCGGGGCACCATGGGAATTGCCATCCCTGGGTCAGCGTGGGAAGCGGGATCTCAGGATTGACACATGAATTGGGGTCTCCAGGTCGATGTGGGAATTAATTGCCACCCCTGGGTCAGCATGGGAAGCGGGATCTCAGGATTGACACATGAACTGGGGTCTCCAGGTTGATGTGGGAATTAACTGAGATCCTGAGTCAAGGTGGGAACTGGGAATTCCCAGATCAGCGTGAGAACTGGGACCCACAGGTCAGCGTGGGATCCCACCTACCATGAACTCGGCCTGGCCATTGCAGATTCCATCCGGGAAAGCCCGCTCCATGAACAGCTCCAGAGCCTCTAGCTCGCAGCACCTGTGGAGCTGCAGCAGCTCCGTCACCGTGTCCACGGGCAGCTCCAAGCCCTCCATCTGCTCCCGGTACCTCTGCAGGGCCGCCGCCACCGCCGCCGCGTTGGCCGCCGGGGCCACGTCCCGGATGGCGCGCTCCAGGCACGGCACCGCTCCCGCCCGGATCTGCCCCACGTAGATCTCTGCCAACCTCCCCAGAACTGCCGGGAGAGAGAGAGAGGATTTGGGAAGGGGGGAGAGAGGGGCCCCCACAGGAGGTCACTGAGCCCTGGGGGTCGTGGGGTCAGTCGTGGAATGGCGGGATCTCCTGGGCCGGGAGGGACCTGCGGGAGCTACTGAGTCACAGGATGGGGAGATTGTGGAATCCCCTGGGTCGGGAGGGTCATGGAATCTTGGAGTCATGGAATATCTACAGTAGGGAGGGACCCAAGGATCATGGAGTCATGGAATCTCAGAGTCTCCTGGGCTGGGAGGGATTATAGAATCATGAGATCATGGAAACACGGAATATCCCCCAGCTGGGAGGGACACCAGGATAGCTGAGTCACGGAATTCTGGGATCATGGAGGCAAGGACTGTCCTGAGCTGGAGAGAGCCCACAGGATCATGGAATGATGGAATGATGGGATCATGGAATATTCTGAGCTGGAAGGGACACCCAAAGGTAATGTAGTCACGGAATCATGGAATGAGGGAATCGTGGAATGAGGGAATCGTGGAATGAGGGAATCGTGGAACACCCCCCAATGGGAGGAACTCACCAGGATCGCTGAGCCACAGAATCACGGGATCATGGAATTATGGAATCTCCTGGGACTGGGAGGAGGGGGGAGGCCCACAAGAATCCTCGAATGGCTGAACTCGATGATCCCAGAGGTCTTTTCCCACCTCAACAACCTCCTGATTATTCCGCCCTCCCGAATCCAACAATCCCTGGGCCCAACACTCACGTTCCCCGGTGACGACGAGGCCCCCGGGCAACGTTTTCGTCTGCGCCTCCTCCCGGAGGAACGTGAGGAACTTCTGCTCCTGCAGCCCGGCCGGGGTCTCCTCCAGGTGCCCCTGGATCAGGAAGCACCGGCGGTTCAGGAAGAACTGCCGGATGCACTCCTGGGGCAGGTTGTGCCGCTGGGCCTGGGCATCAGTACCTGCAGGGTGGGGTGGGGGGAGACCATGGGGCGTCACCTGGCGCGGGGTCACACCTGGACATCCCTCACCTCTGTCCTCACCTGGACCTTCATCTGTGTCCTCACCTGGACATCCCTCACCTGTGTCCTCACCTGTGTCCTCACCTGGACATCCCTCACCTGCGTCCTCACCTGTGCCTTCATCTGGATATCCCCAACCTGTGCCCTCATCTGGACCCTCACCTGTGTCCTCACCTGCCCCCCATCTGCCCCCTCACTTGCCCCCTCACCTGTGTCCTCACCTGTGTCCTCACCTGGACATCCCTCACCTGGACCTTCTCCCGTGTCCTCCCCTGTGTCCTCACCTGCCCCCTCACCTGGCTGCAGCCTCAGTGCCCGCTCCAGGTACTCGTCCTCGGAGATTTCCCACCCGTCCTCGTCCTGGAGCTCCCGGGCGCAGTCCATGACGGCCCAGACGAAATCGGGGAAGAAAAGGGCGAATCTGTGGGAATCACTGAGGGCGCCGCGCTCGGGGTTCTCTCTGCACGTGATGAGCTTGGGCAGCTCCGACAGCCACCTGAGTCAGGTGAGGAACCGCGGCGTGAGGGACCCCCCGGACCCCCAGACATGCTCGGGGGGAGGGGGAGACCTCCCCCAGCCCTGGGGCTCACCACGGCCCCCCCCCCAAGCCCTGGGGGTCACCACGGCCCCCCCCCCCCAAGCCCTGGGGGTCACCACGGCCACCCCCCAGCCCTGGGGGTCACCACGGGGTGGGGAGGAAACTCATGAGGACCCAAAATGTGTCCGGGGGGGCTCCATGGGGTTCACATTGCCCCCACCCCAAATCAAGGGAGGTCTCCACGCTCCTGTCCCACCCCAAGTCAAGGGAGGTCCCCACGCTCCTGTCCTACCCCAAATCAAGGGATGTCCCCATTTTCCTGTCCCACCCCAGGCTAAGGGAGGTCCCCATTTTCCTGTCCCCCCTTCCCCAGCCAAAGGGGGGGCCCTGGAGCCCCCCCAGGTACCTCAGCCGGTCCATGTCCTGCTGGGTGATGTCCCCGTGGCTGGTGTGGATCAGGGAGCTGCAGAGGAGCAGGGTCAGCACCAGCAGCCACCGGGAGCTCTCCAGATCCCCCTGCAACGGCCCCATCCCGGTCAGACACCCCCAGGACCCCGCTGAACCCCAGGGTTTGGGGAGGACCCTCCCCCTCCACCCCCACAAGCCTTAGGGTGTCCCTGGGGCGTCCCGGGCAGGGCTGAGATCCAGAGGGTCCTTCCCACTCGGGATATTCCAGTGACCCCCTGGGGGTCCTTCCCGCTCAGGACATTCCATTATCCTCAATTTTAACTCTTGGGGTCCCTCAGACCCTCCTCCCCCAGATCCCCCCCCCCAGGTCCTCATTCCTCATTCCTCATTCTGCTGCACTTTTTTTCCCAGAAACCAGGAATTTGGCAACCTGCCTGACCCCATGGCCACAGTGAGGGTGGGGGACACACACACACACACACACACACACACCAGGGCCCAGGTGAGCCCCAAGTGCTTGGGGTGCTCAGGGAGACCCCCCCAGGGCCTCACCCACCTCGTCCAGGTGTACCTCGGTGTGCAGCAGGACCAGGGTGTGGTCACGCAGGTGAGGGTGGGGGAGGCAGAACATCCACATCCGGTTGGGGGGGGAGCCCACGGAGACCCCTGGGGGGACACGGGTGTTGCACAGGGGGGAAACAGAGAGGGAAGGAGCAGGTACCGCCTCAGCCACTCAGGTACCACCTCAACCACTCAGGTACCACCCTGGCCTCCCAGGTACCCCAACCATGCAGGTACCTCATCCATGCAGGTACCTCATCCATCCAGGTACCCCATCCAGGTGCCTCATCCATGGAGGTACCTCACCCATCCAGGTACCCCAACAATGCAGGTACCCCACCCATCCACCTGCCTCGGCCATCCAGGGCAGGACCTCCCTCCCCTTCCCAGCCTGTCCCTCAGGTGGGACTCGACTCACCTGTCCCTCAGGTGGGACTCGACTCACCTGTCCCTCAGGTAAGACTCCACTCACCCGTCCCTCAGGTGGGACTCCACTCACCTGCCCCTCAGGTGGGACTCGACTCACCTGCCCCTCAGGTGGGACTCCACTCACCTTCCTGGTCTGACCTGATGGCAGCCACGACCACCACGGGCTGTTTGACCCCCGACAGCACCCGCAGGGCCTCGGAATAGACCACCAGCCCCTGCTCCTGGGAATTCTCCACCAGGCAGACGGGGCTCAGCCCCTCCTGCCCCGCTGCCAGCGCATCCAGCTGCCCCATCCTGGAAGGGGAAGGGGACATGGGTGGGTGTGGGGTGGGCATGGCCCCAAACACGGAGCAGCACACACTGGAGAGCTGGAATGTTTTTTTTGGGGGGGAAGGGACCTTAAAGCTCATTCCATTCCAGCCCCTGCCACGGGCAGGGACACCTTCCACGAGCCCAGGTGGCTCCAAGCCCTGTCTAACCTGGCCTGGAACAGCTCCAGGGACGGGGCAGCCACAGCTTCTCTGGGAGATTCATTCCAGTCCTTTACCCACAGCTAAAGATTTCTCCCTCAGATCCACCCAAACACCCTCTGTTCCAGGGTGCAGCCCCTGTGACCCCCCCAGCTCCTGCAGTCCCTGTGACACCCCCACTGTGACACCCCCAGCTCCTGCAGCCCCTGTGACCCCCCCAGCTCCTGCAGCCCCTGTGACACCCCCAGCTCCTGCAGCCCCTCTCTCAGCTCAATTGGGCAGGACAGGGAGGACAGGGAGGACAGGGAGGACAGGGAGGACACTGTCCCTTGGCCTGGCCTGGAGCCCCAGAGTGGCTGGTGGGTCCCAGACCCCCTGGAGGGGTTGGCCACAGGGACCAGAGCAGATAAAACCAGGCTGTGGCCCTGCCATTGATCGTGTGAGAGCTGCTCTGCCACAGGGTTCTAGTGGCAGCTTTTAATATCTGCCTCTCCCTCTTTCTCCTTCTCTCTTCTCGTTCCCTCTGCTTCTCTTTCTCTGCTCCTTTCCTGATGCTCTGGGTGGCTTTGGGAGCTGGAGGGGTTGGATCCTGACCCAGCCAGCACGGGGTTTAGGGAGGGCAGGGCAGGTCTGACCATCCTGATCTCCTTTTATGCTCAGGGGACCTGCCTGGTGGATGAGGGGCAGGCTGGGGATGTGTCTGCCTGGACTCCAGCAGAGCCTTGGGCACCGTCTCCCATAAAATACTCCTGGAAAAGCTGCAGCCCAGGGCTTGGACAGGG